GAGATCTAGATCATTTATATCTGCAAGTGCTTCCAAGGAAATTTAATAAGCAAGAGCAAGCCTTTCCTACTTATTTCTTCTATTTTTAGAGTTTTCTTGCTCTGATCTTTCTTACATACTCTTCATTTGTGGACTCATGAAACTGGCATGCTTTGCTGTTCTTTACAGGCCCGGCCTCTCCTTGTTCAATCTCTTGAAACTGGAAATTGTGATCAACTAGTCGACCGAAGACTCCAAAATGATTACTCAAAGAATGAGATGTTTCGAATGATTGAAGCAGCTGCTGCATGCGTTCGCCATTCAGCTACCAAACGACCTCGTATGGTTCAGGTAATTCTTTTGGGCATTTCAGCAAAATCTATTCCTTTAGAGTGGCTTCAATTAGGATTACAAAATCTGCATCATCAAACTGCACACCCAATTACCATTTTCTTTAAAAAAAACAATTGTGAACTTTATAACCCTAAAAGTTTGATTTTAATGTGCAGATGCTAGCATTCTTCTACTATTCTAAGAGTTATTTATAATGTCCCTATAATAATGTTCTACAAGTTGGTACTTGTAATAAAAATAGAACCTCACTTGTTTCCAATGAATGAATGAGCAAGTCTTTATATCCTTGAAATATTTTCATGCTTGTATGAAGGTTGTGAGGGCCCTGGACTGTGAAGGGGACATGGCAGACCTCAGCAACGGCATGAAATTTGGCCAGAGTCAAGTTTTTTATTCTGGCCAGCATGCAGCCGACATCCAGAGATTTCGAAGAATGGCACTCGGAATTCATGATTACAGTTCTGAATCTGGCAATTCCAGTGAGTATGATCGCCAGAGCTCGTCATACAGTGGAGAATACCGCAGTCGAGAGTACCCAAACCATAGTCGCGAGCATCGTGGTCGCGTGCCTCAGTATCCAGATTTCTCAAACTCATGGAGGTCTGGAGAAAGTTCAGGTGAGTACAGTGGCGAGTCAGAGACTCGTGCTATGTTTCGCAGACCAGGCGAAAGGAGCCATGTTGGAATCCATCAATATGGCAGCAGAGGTTTTTGATGAATCAGGACAAACCAAAAATAAGCAATACTTTGATAGTTGAGGAATTGCAGCCTTTTGCAGAGTAATACTCTTGAATTATTGGTGCAAATACTCCCCACTAACTAGTAAATAGAGAACAATATTGAGGAGGTGATAGAGAGGCCAGTACTTAATTTCACAGCTTTCTACTGTAAACACAAGATGAAGCTTTCATATTAGCAGTGACACCTACTTCTGATTCTAGCCAAAGTAACTAATGTTTAATTCGATTCCATATTTACATTTATGCATCTTCTTGGTGTATTTTTTATTCAGGCCATTTGCATGCATGCCACACACTTTTTAGGTATTTACATATATAACAGCTAAACTTTCTTATTTATATTTTTAACACTGAAAACTTTTAACATTGCATAAAAATATCATCTTTCTAAAAGAAATATGCCTTTTTATCCATAGTTTTATGCAAATATCAAACTTTAAGCATTGAATATGTAAATACACAAGAATTGTGTGGTATGCATGTAAATTTCCTTTTTTCTTTTCCACTAAAGCTTCTTTTTTTTATAACATTACATGCTGCTACCATATTTTTTTGCAATGCAATTGTTGAATTTAGATTTGTCTGTTGGTCACACTTAATTAATAGAACATAAAAGGGAAGAGTGAGAGTTTTTATAATAAAAAGGAGACCCCTTTATATTTATGATCCCTTTATTTATAGGGGCTAGTATTATTGTGAAATGACATTTGTACTCACGATTCTCTTTTATCGGTCGACTTCTGATCAGATGGTTTTAGCTCGGTCGACTACTAATTGAATGATCTCTTGTTGTTTATCTCATTTTTGGCCAGCTCCCAATCGGTCGGCCTCGAGCAAATCAATATTTAAACAATTGTCTTCTGATTGGTTGCTTGCTCGGTCAGTCTCTGACCAACCGCATGATTGATCAGTTTCTAATTAGTAGGCTTGTAATCAATCGAACTCTGATCGATTGATTACAAGACAACATTTTGGTGTCCCTTATTGTTCAATTATCTTTGCTTCGGGCATCCCTTGGGTTTTTTCTCACACTCGTGCGTCAAATCCCAGCGTTCTCATTTTGTCACGTAATGCCCGGGATCCCCCAAGTCTTCGGCATAGGCCTTTTTTTCTCTTCATTTGTGAATTAACGCATATGGATCGCTCAAACCACCAAAATGCATGAACTGGCGCCTGGACGCCATCAACCCAACACCTACTTTCTGGCTTCTCTGTCATGCTGGTTCGAAAGTGGTCCTTGGGCAGCGAGACAGTCCATGTCGGCTCCCGGGCACTGCTTCTCTACTTTGCTCAATTCTTCACTTCTCATGCTCCCATGAACCTTATAATCTGAATCCCACAAATAACATCACAAAATGACAAACACATTCCAAAAGCTTAAAATTTACATCAAACCAAATTAAAAGAAAAAAAACTCCCTTGAGCAAGACGAGAATTCCTCTCACCCTCTTGTGCTCCAATGAGCTCCCACGGCCAACTCAGACGATCCTGAGCGAGTTGTTGGTCTCTAGAGCAACTGAGGCATCTCCAACCCCTTCTTCCTGAAGAAGAGGAGTCCGTGAGAATCCCCTGAAGCTTTTGACTTGGCTGGATTATGGACTTACGCCCACGTTTGAGGTAATCATCTCCTCCTCCCTCCTTGATCTCAACTTTGAAACTTTAGAGGCAGTTCCTAGATCTAACGACCAAATGCTTAGTGTAGAACCTTCCCCTTGCTTAGATGATTTTTTTGGATCGATCAGGGAGGAGATCCAACCATTGGATCATTCAAATCATTTGAAACTGTGAATGGACGATCCTTATTCTCTGCTTGGGGTTCAGGGACGATCACAACCGTCCGTTTGTACTGTTTGGAACGGATAACTATGATCTAGTCGTAGCAGCGAACTTTTCAACCTTTGGTCCCACCGTTTAAATCATGGAGGCAATGGCTGGCCGCCATGTGTAAAGTTCTGTCGTGTCATCTGTCATGGTGGTATCAAATGCGGGGCCCATTTCAATGTTTTTACTTATTATTTAAAATTTAAATAAATAATTGAAAATTCAAAAATCATTAAAAATAAAAGAAAAATTAAAAAAAAGAAAAGAAAAGTAGGAAGTGCTCATCTCACTAAAGCTTTTCCTTGGAAAATTCATTCATGACTTTGATTCTCCAGCTCTTTAGCCCTCCATGCCAAAGGGTATGACAAGCCACTCTACTCATCTAAGCTTTGGCCGAAACCCCCAATGGTGTGATGGACTTGGCACAGAACGACATAATGCTTGCTGGCCCGACAAACATGCGCTCAACCAATTTGCCTTAGGCACAACTTGCTTTCAAAGACTCAATGGTTCGTAGGATTCTACAATTTACGCCGGGTATTACATTTCACTATACTCCCCAACAGTCTAAGAGTCGAGATATCAATTTTTTAGAGTTATGTCAATACGTGTGATGAGCAGCACCGCTCTACACCACGAAGCCTCGACGCAAGGCTCATGTTTTTTTATTGTTCCCTTGGCATTAAGCTACACTTGTTTGGAGTTCCAATTGTCCTTCATCGTAGCTCCCTCCAAAGGATGGGAGCGATAAATGGGATGGTTGTAGCCCCCTTCAAAGGATGGGGGTGATAAATGAGATGGTTGTTTACGATAACGATTGTCGCCGCTTATTTCACAGGTTCTCAAAATCACTTGATATATTCTAGTCTTGACAATGATCCTTCCACAAGTTCATCTATTGAAACTTTCTTACAACTTCTTTCTTTAAATGATAAGGTTAGATGGACTTCTTATAGTGTTGCGAGTGGCCAATTTCCCTCGTCGCAGTTATCCGAACACTTAACCGGGTCATTCAATTGGTAGGTGCAACAGACGGTGTGTACAAAGGAGAGGGACATAGTCAACACAAGATGATTACTTGTGCATGGTAGGAATTCCTCGTTTAAAACCAACAATTTCAATCATCTATCGTCATCATGATGAAAATTTCTAAAGATTAACCGAGTCTGTCGACCAAGGCTATATACTATTTAAATACATTAGTATTGCACGCGTGCGACCCAGAACATCTAAGTACATCACAAACTTATTATTGACTCAAACTTCTGAGGCATAAATGACCATAGTCCCTCTAAAAAGTTGGATGCACAGGTTAAGCTCTACATATCCAATTAACAAGCTGAGGTCTCATTCGTTAACAAAATTAACCAGATAAATCACTTCACCATGTAGAATGTGTTATGCACCACCACCCCATAGAATATAAAAAATGCTCTCAATTTGTCAATCTTTATTTTGTACTTAATGAGTTTCCACATGTTGAGTCAGATTAACCCACAGGAGGTTCCACTTTTAGTGGCACACTTTCATCAATTCATTTAAGTTTCAGCCTTACAACCATACTCATGGGAGTTTTTCTCAACCATTTTAGTATGAGGGGATTTCACACTTATGCTTTCATTGTGGGATTATTGACCATAAAGTGGAGCATTTTCCATCAAAAGGCAAGCAAATGATTCATGCTTAAACTTGAGAAATGGCTTCCTCAACTAGGCAACCCTTGAAGGTAATAAGCAATAAGAATGGCTCTCTTTCTACAACATGTTAAGGAATGAATAGAGCCACATGCTATTTGTGTAAATATAGGGGTTCCTAGTAGAGCCACTAGGAGCTCAGTCATGAGATTAGCCCAGTTTCAGGGAGTGAGTTGGGGGAAGAGGCCTATTGACCTTGGGTTCTGGTTTCACGGAGGAAGAACTGTCCTCTAAAGGGTGGAAAATTACAAGAATCTACAGTGAAACCAGTTAATTTGCCACATAGCCACAACTGGGTAGCCCTCTATAGAATACCGCATTGTACATGCCTACTCCAACATAATTTTCCACTCTGACCCACAGTAATGCAGCTCCTCCACCAGGTTCACCACTCTGCATCTTCACTTATACTCACAAGCCAACCTTAGAGCCTGTTTTTCATTGCAGTTCTAGCCGGGGGCATAATGGTTCTAGACATAGTCGACTTTTTAAGGCTTGTTTTGACAACGAGTAAATGCAGTTGAGATCTGTTGTAGCACATCCTAGGAAGCGTAAATGCACTAAGGAGCCTTTGGACGAGGAGGATGCAACCTCAATAGAAATCACTTGAATTCCCTTACCCAGGAGACTCACTTGTACATTTTACCCTTAAGTATGGGATAGTGAAGCTTCCTTTCTTGAATTTAATATGGAAAAGCTAAGGCACTAAACGATCCTTGAGTTGTTTGTCGTCACTACCCTTAACCTTATGGAAAATGCAAGAGTCATCACTTGGTTTATGTGTACTGTATAGTGGAAGCATGACCCACTTTAGATGCATCAGTCTACATTTGAGTCTTTGTATTTTCTATACACATTTGGTCCACAAGATCAAGAGGGAGTCCCTCTAGTTTATGTTCGCCTTTGCTTTTTTCTTTAATTTTGTTTACCCCTTTTTCTTTTAATTAGTTCAAGGAACCCAACTTTGGCAATGCCCAAAAACTTTGAAAGCTCCCATTTTATTCTCATTGTCTCTCTCACTAGAGTGGTTTTAGAGTGAAGAGTTATGAGGTCTCGAGGAGGTGGCCCACAAGTATACATATCGTTATCAAGTAATATAAAACTTTCTGATTAAGTCTTGAATATCAATCCCACAGGGAAGACTAATTTTAGATAACAAAATTTTACCTCGCAGTGTACTCTTACTTAGACTTAAGATGCTAAAATAGAAATGAAAATTCAATTCTTTTTGTAATTTTTGATAATTAAAAATAAATTAAGCAACTAATTAACTTAACTAAATATCCTTTGCAATTGAGCCTTCATAATAGTTTTGCCTCACCTAC